TTTAAATTTTATTTATTATTTATTGGCTGCCCTTTTCCCTGAGGGGACTCAGGGCGGCTTACAATATATAGGGAGATTCGTACCCTCACCACCGTCCAGACCTTCCGCACAGCCCTCAAGACCTGGCTATCCCGTCAGGCCTGGGGATCGTAATCCGTCCCCACGTGAATGATGAATGTTGTGTACTATTTTTTTACTATGTATTGTTTTATGTCTTACTGTCTTGTACTCCCCTCCCTATATATTGTAAGCCGCCCTGAGTCCCCTCAGGGAAAAGGGCGGCCTATAAATAATAAAACCAACCAACCAAACCAACCATTAAGAAGCAACCGATAGCTGATACAAGGCCTTTCTGCCTTTCAGAACTTGCAAGACTGAAGCCCTGCCTGAATGCAGGTTATGCTTTAGGGAGTATGTGCCTTTTAGAATTGTATCTCGGGAGATTATAAAGACATAGAGGCTTTACATCCTTATTTACATCCTTCATCTGAAGATCAGACTGACCCAATTCTTCCCCAGGCAACTGAGCATCTGTACCTCTTTGTAGGAAGAGATGACCCTCTCGGTGGCATCAGCTCCTGCGGCCAAGAGACTCCGTGCTGTGGTAAAAGCCTCGGTCCTCAAGCTTACCAATTCTTGCTCGTCCATTTCCAGCGCCGCTTGTTTCACCGCCTCTGAATCTGGGGGAAGAAAATGGTGATAGGGGGGAAAAGCTGGAACATTTATCTCAACTTCTCCACTGACTGATCCGAGGTCCCTTATTCATGCTGACGTCTTGGCACCTGTTGAAAATGCCAGCATGGGAGCCCTCCTGTGATGGGGGCCGAAAACAAAAAAAAAGGCATTCCTCCACGAAACTATTAATAGTCCAAATAAGTAATAGTCCAAATATTGCCTTAAACATGTTCTGTAATAAAGCTTCATGAAGAAGACACCTGTTTCATTCTTTAGGTTTCCCTTAATGCTTCAAAGATCTCTCGCACTGGATTTAAAACTGAAATGTGAAGGAAGGTTTTACATAGTTTAATCGTTTTCCTTGTTATATGTATTTGGGACAACTAGCAGGTGAAAAAATTATAACACGAAGGAAGTGAATATCGATACTCCTTGACTTAAGACTGGTCACCCTTCAAAGTTATGACAGACTCCCCCTCCCCTCTAAAAGGTACTTATGACCCAATCCTGAAGTTATGTCCACTGCAGAGGGCTGCTTGTGGGATTGTGTCATGTGGCCCAGGAATGGTGTGGCCCATATACTTTTTCCTTCTCCAGATCTCCTGAGCTCTGAAGATCTTCAAAAGGTAAGTGGACAATAGGTGACAAGGTGGGAGGAGGCCCAAGGAGGTGGGTGAGGTCTCCAAGAAAGCAGAGCAAGCACCGAAATTTATCAGAGTTAAATCTGCTGAACACCATAAATCTGGTTCATTTGAGAAAAGAGCCATAACTTTGATATAAATTATCTACAAAACCCGGTATAAACATAAGCTCTGTTCATATCAGTTCTACAAATGTTAGGCATGTTTACAGTCTTATAAACATGGTACTGTTGTCCACAGAACATGGTACTGTGGGGGGGTGGGGTGAGGCCTTGGGCGATCTGAAGCAGGTGGACTTGTGCCAGTGGTGGGTTTCAAAAATTGTTCGAACCTACTCTGTGGGTGTGGC